TCTGACGTAACGTAACCTCTTCTGACGTAATCACGCGTTGCGTAGCCTCGTCTGACATAATCGCGTTGCATAGCCTCGTCTGACGTAAACACGCGTTGCGTAGCCTCGTCTGACGTAATCACGCGTTGCGTAGCCTCGTCTGACGTAATCACGCGTTGCGTAGCCTCGTCTGACGTAATCACGCGTTGCGTAGCCTCGTCTGACGTAAACACGTGTTGCGTAGCCTCGTCTGACGTAATCACGCATTGCGTAGCCTCGTTTATTCACATCAAACAGTCGAGAGGGAAACTAGATGGAAAGAGTCTAGATTCGAATTTTTATTTATTTAATTTTTCGCGAATTTTGAAAAGTTCGATAAAAATTCACTCTACAACTGGATGGAAACACGATTAGTGTGAGGTTGAAGCTGAATGTGTTCGGTGATCAATTGCAGATAATTTGCAGATAATTTTCAAATATATCAAACATCTTTTATGTTAATTTTCCGGCCACTCTGCTACACATGTTTTGGTTATGTCCAAAACTACATGGTTTCTGGAGCTCTATATTTGAAACTTTCTCCTAAATAACAGGACAAACGATTCACTCTACTACGCCTCTGATTTCATTATTTGGCGTGATTCCTTCTGAACTTTCTAAACAGGAGTCAAACATGATTGCGTATTCCTCTTTGTTGGCCAGAAGACTTATTCTCATGAAGTGGAAGGACCCTCGACMCCCARCRTTTGGCCACTGGATTAGAGATGWGATGAGCCACATCCATCTAGAAAAGCTTAAGTTCACCATCAGAGGTTGCGTTGAAAAATCCTACATTTCATGGCAACCATTCATTAGTTACGTTGAGAATATGTCGGCCTGTGATATTGACTCATGATTGTATTACGTTGAATATAAATAGCCCAGTGACCCATTGTCATACATATTTATAGTTTTGTATACCCTGAACATGTTTAAGTTTAAGTTTTTATTTATTTATAAAGCGCCCTTCATACTAAAAGCAGCTCAAGGTGCTGTACAAAATTATGCACTATAAACCAACCCATAAAAAAAAAAGAAAACGAAAACAGCAACAACAATACAATAAAAACTATCATAAAAAATGTAATGATCAGGAAAGATACAGTTCAAGGACAAAGGTTAAAAAGATGTCTTAAGCCTGCTCTTAAAAATAGCAACACTCTCTGCAGCCCTCACATTTTCAGGCAGACAGACGAGGGCCATAGTCCTTAAAAGAAACCTCTCTGTATGTGTGTGTTCTGACTCTTGGAGCTGTTAATAGTCCAGTGCCAGAGGATCTGTTCGTGTTGGTTCGCAGGGTAATAACAGTTCAGCCTGATAAGATGGTGCAAGACCATTAAGACATTTAAAAACCAGTAAAAGAACTTTAAAATCAATTCTAAGATGTACAGGGAGTCAGTGCAATGATTTTAAAACAGGTGTAATATGAGCCTGCCTTCTGGTCTTGGTTAGCACACGAGCAGCGGCGTTTTGCAACAGCTGCAGACTAGACAGATTTTTCTTAGGAAGACCAGAAAGCAGTGCGTTACTATAGTCTAAATAACAAGAAATAAAAACATGTATTAAAATCACAAGACAGAAGAGGGCGGGACTCTGGCTATATTTTTTAAAAGATAAAATCCTATTTAAACAGTGTGTTTAATATGTGGAATAAAAGTAAGCTCAGAGTCAAAAACCCCAGACTTCTGACTTGTTGGAAGGATAAAAAAGACGCAGATTGTAATTTTGAAATTATCTTTTCATTTTCATCCTCCAGTCCAATAATAAGAACGTCTGTTTTGTCCTGATTAAGCTGGAGAAAGTTCTGAGCCATCCATGTCTTTATGTCSTTAATGCATTTAAGAAGTATGTAACGTTGTTTTATTTTCTTGTTACTATTTTTTTTTTCTTTCTTTCCTTCATGTGAAGATCTGGTATCAAAGGAGGGGAGTTTTGTTTTAAATGTTAAGTTGTTGGTAAAACAACTTAAACTGGTAAAAAAAATATTTTTTTTTTTACCAGGTTCAAATAAAACATGTTTTATCTTAACTATGAACCCTTGCCTTCCTACTCAGCTCCGCTCAATTCTAGTTTCCCTTTACTGCTCCGTCTGGGACTTCTCCCATTGAGGTGGATTTCACTGGCAGGTTTTTAGCCGGGCCAATCAGAGGACAGAATGTCAATTTTCTGTGCAGTGTCTGCTTGTAGTTTATTTTACCTGGGCCAATCAGAGAACAGAACCTCAATTTTCTGCGCAGTGTCTGCTTGTAGTTTATTTTACCTGGGCCAATCAGAGAACAGAAGGAGGAGTTTTGAATGACTGATGTTCTGCTCAGTGTCTGCTAGTTAATTTAGCATACGGCAGTGGAGGAAGTGAATGAAGCCAGTCTGTGTTGATAAGGCTTCAAATTAAAATAAATTTGTCTGACAAAGCAGCAGCTCTCATTTACAGTTGTYTCGTTCRGCTCRGTATATTTCTCCTCTCAGTAGTGTTGTTTACAGCACACGCGATTTCCGGTTAGCTTCTTAGCTTAGCCTCCGTACAGCGACAACACATGCTTCAGCAGAGGCCACGCCTCCTGCAAGAAACGATTCTCTATGCATCAAGTCCAGACCCTTGTACGAAGCAAAGTGAAGGACAGGGCCTGTTTTAAACCAGGCTAACTAATAATATGTACAGATTACAGTTATTGACTKTTGTTTTTAGTATAATAAAGTCACAGGGGCTTTTGAAACCATTGTAATCTGTGTTTAACACAACTTTGAGTTGAAAATTACTGTAACTTGTTTTGTTCCTTTTTGTATTGGAATTGTTTCCCCAAATTTATTTATTTTTTCTCCAGTACTAAGCTCGCTTCTTTCTTTCTTTCTTTTTTTTTTTTTTCCCAGTATTCAAGCCAGAGGAGCTGCGCCAGGCTCTGATGCCGACGCTTGAGTCTCTTTACAGGCAAGACCCAGAATCTCTGCCTTTTCGACAGCCTGTAGACCCCATGCTCTTGGGTATCCCGGTAGGTAGAACACAAGCCCTCCTTCCTTCAYGCAAAACCTGACAGAACAACTAAAACTGTGTATATGTTTAATAAATATACGTTTGCTTCACTGTTTCACCTTCTGTGTTTTTTTTTTTTTGTCTGCCCTGTCTCTCCAGGACTACTTTGACATAGTCAAGAACCCAATAGATCTCTCTACAATAAAGCGTAAACTTGACACAGGACAGTACCAAGAGCCTTGGCAGTATGTGGATGATGTGTGGCTAATGTTCAACAACGCCTGGCTTTACAACCGCAAGACGTCCCGTGTTTACAAGTACTGCTCCAAGCTGGCTGAGGTGTTCGAGTCAGAGATTGACCCAGTCATGCAGAGCCTGGGCTACTGTTGTGGGAGGAAGGTAAGACCAAGAGGAAATCTAATCTTTAACTTTTTGATTCGTTTGATTTCATTAATTTATGGTCACGTTCTGACACGAAGCTGAAGTTAGCTTCCGATTCCAGCTTCCGATTCGGGAAATGACTAAAGGGATATTACAACTAATTTTTCACTACCTTGCGCGTGTTTAACCTGCTCTAGCCCAAAAACCGCAACACCTGGACTCTTCAAATCTGGACTAGATTATTCCACACTAATAGAAGAATAAGAAAAACTAAGCTTGAGCTTTGGGAAACCTTTGTCTGATTTGTGAAACATTAACAAAGTTTGTTTATCATCCTTTTTTAGGCAACTGGACCACACTAGCCCTGGTCCAGCCCAAAAACCACAWCACCTGGACTCTTCAAACCAGGACTAGATTATTCTACACTAATASAAGAATAATAAAAACTAAGTTTGAGCTTTGGGAAACCTTTGTCTGATTTGTGAAACATCAACAAAGTTTGTTTATCATCATTTTTCAGGCAACTGGACCAAAGTTGCCCAACACTCAAACTTAGTTTTTATTATTCTTGTATTAGTGTAGAATAATCTAGTCCTGGTTTGAAGAGTCCAGGTGTTGTGGTTTTTGGGCTGGACCAGGGCTAGTGTGGTCCAGTTGCCTAAAAAAGGATGATAAACAAACTTTGTTAATGTTTCACAAAT